CAAAACTTCAATATTGCAAAATCATGAACAAAGTCAATACTAAGAAACAATACATAATCCTGTAATTCTACTGACCAGTGGAAGGGAGGTTGGGTGGGCATAGGTGGAACTCGACATGCAACTACCTTTTCTTGGTGAGTTCGGGGTAATTTAGGATATAAAACTCCTAAATTAGCTAAACGTTGCATATCCAAAGTTATGGTACGTTGATTTCTCATATACTTTGATTATGGATATTTTAAGGAAAATACCCTCCCCCCCTCGCGGCAGTACAAGATATGATTTTAGAAGCCTGAAACTTATCCACATAATTACTTCTCTTAAAAGGCACCAATCGCATACCCAGTCAATAATGATATAAGAAATTTATTTTCAATACATCTTAATCTATATATATTAAATAGGTTTAAAAAAAACATCTCATAAATGTTTGACGATATTCATAATTATTGTCTATCTTTCATGAAATCGCGTTTTCTGATTTTACGCCTATACCTATATTACTATCGCTCTTATGCCGTGTGTATCTTTTCTTTTCTGCGTGTTCTACTTCACTGTATGTTTAGCGCTTCTTCTGGCTCTATTGAAGTCAGTGCTCTATCGTCTCGCTTCTCTAAAGAACGAATTAACAGAAAACTTCCTCCGTTCTGCTTTATTATATCCCAAAAGTTAACACCCACCAAGAACAAGCCTATTGATACGTTGACTTTTGTCAAATCTTTTCAAGGAGCCGGAAGCAGACGTTGTATTGCTTGTTATACGAGTTGAAACATTAGTCTAAAAAACTGCCTTTATGCTAATATGGAAAAGTTTTGATCAGTGGAGAAAATAAACGTGTTTGTATGATTTCCATCTACACTACTTCTTTTAATCGTCATCCATCATGTTTTCTTTGGTTAAACGCTCAGCCGTTTAATATATAATAAATAAAAAATATATAGACAGAAATAAATGTTTGATTTCTTCATGAGCGTTAACTTTTTTTTTTATTATTATTTCTCAAATAGTACACAATTTTGTTTTAGTTATTTGTGTATTTTAAATCACTTATAAGTAATTATTAAAGCTATGTTTCTACCTTTTGTGTGACAGACGTATTTCGATAAAGATATGAAACTATACATGAAATACATTCTAATACATTAACGTTGACGTTAATTAACGCAAGTGTTAGGATTATAAAATTAACTTTTTTTTATTATCTTGAATTTTAAAACAAGAAATAAGACCTTGAACAAACATGAAGTGTTTTAGCTTTTTCTTAAGACATTACTACATAAACGGCAACTAGGTATTTCGTCAACAGTATTAAACTGGGTGTCAATTAAGTATTTCGTCAACAATGTTAAATTGGGTGACAATTAAGTATTTCGTCAACAGTATTAAACTGGGTGACAATTAAGTATTTCGTTAACAATACTAAACTGGGTGACAATTAAGTTTTTCGTCATATTAAACTTGCGGTAATATATTATTTTGTCAGCAGTATTAAACAATTAAGTATTTTTACAACACTACTACACTATGGATAATTAAGTATATAATACAGTATAAAAAAAGATTAATTCGTTAAAAAACAAATTACAATTTTAAACTATAGTAATTGAATGTTAATACATAAGTATGGAATACGTATAAATTTAATGGTTAAAGATTTGGGCAAGTGCCATTTTTCAGGATCATAAGCCAAATGACAATTCACTTGTACGTTATCAATATCTTCAACAATTTGGCACTGGCATCAATTAAGTATTACTATAAACGTACTACACTTGATAAATTCAATATTACTAAAAAACTGTTGCAATGGATACAGTAAACTATTTTTACCACAATGTACATTAGCTAAAATCAAAGAAAATATTAAACAGTTAATATATGAACGTTTCTGTGATAATATATATTCAGTTTTCTGAAGGAAACTTAATTTAGCCAATTCTGCTACAAATAGTAAGATATTCGTACAGAAACCGTGTATCGTAGAAACCTTATTTAATGCATATTTATACCCTTAAGGATTATTGCTGGTCTCACGGTTATTTTATATAACGGCATTTTGGACGGTCGTAATCTAGCGATTAGCGTGTCAGACTGTGAATCTGACGATCCATGGTTCGTGACCTCCTGCCGCAAAAATGCCTTTCACACTTTGTGGTTGTGAGTACGATATAAGAGTGGCGCTCGATTCCTACTATTCAATCAGACATGTGCAGCCCAACAGTTGACGGTGGGAGCTGTTGATTAGCTGCTTTCCCTCTAGCCTATCAATTCAAAATTAAGGACGGCCACGAGCAGATAGGCCTTATGCATTTTTATACACAATTCAGAAACTAAAAACAAATACAACTACATTTCTCGAAAAAATGAAATGTTTACTTTCTTCAGTTAATAAGAAATCAGGCTTAGGAACTGTAGTACTGTTTACTGTTTTTTCAGAAAGCTAGACTACCTTTTACTACTTGTAACTAAAATCGTGACAAAAAGTTTACAAATCTTGTTCAATTCTAACATACTAAGAATAAAATTTTCTTTTATATTTCTGCACACCATACTTGTGGAAACTTATTTTTAAAAAACTGCATCAGATTATGATTTTAAGCTTTAATTATTAAACCCGTCAGAATATTTAGTGGAATTTTGATTTGTTTTTATTTTAAGACATTCTGGTGTCCAATTGGTTAGAAATACTTTATCTTTAACTGAAACGAAGGACAGAAGAGAAAGTACCAAGTCTTAACGTTTCATTTCTTCATTTCAGTGAATTTTATTGTCTATTCTTTGATGAATAACCTTTAGTTGATATAACAAATTATATATTTTTTAGTCATATACAGCATATGCGAAGATTTCCATTTAAATTTCTACGCCATGTACGCATGTGTGGGTCTGTGGAATACCTTCTTTTTGATAATATACGCCCTATGTGACGCCAGCAAGCTTATGACTTTTTCCACCAGGTAAGAAGTTTGGAAATTCGTTTTAATTTAGAAACAGTCTGTATTAAGAAAAACTTATTCTTTCTTACCGATGTTAAGTGTTGGTAAAAGATAAAAAATATCACGGTTCTAGATTGAATTAATGTTTTCACAGAAACCTTTTGTTGAAGAACACCAAGAAATTTTATTTTTATGCTCTAAAACTGAGAATATACGTAGCCAGTTAAACAAAGAAATTAAATATATTTTCTATACAAGGCGAGTAAAGTCCGACTTTCAAAATTGTTTACGAAAAAGGGCGAGAAAAATAAGTTTGTAAAAATTGGGTTTTTTTCATTAAATTGAAAAAAAACGTATGAATTTTGTATAAAAGCTTGTTGAACCAGTTTATTTTTCTATATTAATCAATATTTTGCCTAAAACCTTTGCCTAGCTGAACACAATATCCCATTAACAATAATAAATTATTATACATGTTAACTTTCTCCAGTTGATAATAAATCAGGCTTGAGAACCGTAGAACTGGTTTTACTGTTGTATGGAAAAGCTCCGACGAAAAACCTCTTGCCATAGGCTAAGATCGTTAGCATTGACAGTCTTCCATCTCCTTGACATTTGACATAAATAATCTGTGTAGCTGTTCGTAGTTAAAAATGCAATTAGATTATCTAAATAACGTTGCATGATCACTATTAACGGATATTAACTTATATTCCCTCTTCATTTACTAACTTTAATTGTATTATAGTATTAACTATATTTAAGAGTGTCGAATTTGTCAGCTAAATAAATGTGACATATAGAAATATCCTAGGTGGGCGTTTCAATTATTGAAGTTTGTACTACATAAGCTCTTAAGATACTGCCGATGTTTGTTTCTGCCTGATATATATATATATATATATATATATTTAATGAAATTGCTAAGCTTTTAGACACTTTGGACATACTAATTATTAATAGCTTTTGTAGTTTCAAAATTTAAACATTTTGCTTTATTCGATTTCTACGCATTTAAGTATAGTCAAAAACGGTCTAAGACAGATGTGCTGTTATCAAAAGCCTACATTCACAATGTGTTAGTTAACGAAGATGTGTAGTTTTAAGGATGTGAAAAAAAAGCAAAGCCTACTTCTGAGAAGAATAAATTTCTGTGTACTGACCACTACACACATCATGTGTACTGACCACTACACACATCATGTGTACTGACCACTACACACATCATGTGTATTGACCACTACACATCATGTGTACTGACCACTACACGCATCGTGTGTACTGACCACTACACGCATCGTGTGTACTGACCACTACACACATCATGTGTATTGACCACTACACACATCATGTGTATTGACCACTACATACATCATGTGTACTGACCACTACACACATCATACGTACTGACCACTACACACATCATTTTTCGCTAATATATGTCGATAAGAACATTTACTTCATTTTCCCTAAGTGCGAACATCGTAAAGAAGAAGTCAATTATTTTTATAATTTTAGTTGGATAAATACACGTGTACTGTTATGCTAATATGTTGAAGTGGTATTTTTGGTATTTAAATATAATCCTATATTTTTATTATACGTGATTAGCTCAACTAAAGAAATCATGAACTAAGATTGACATAACCCGCGTTTGGTTGTATTAAAGATAACCTTAAATGCTGAATCGTTCTAGAATGTTATGTTTACTTTAACTTGTTTATATGGAAGTGCTTTCAAGCAGTTTGAATTTAAGATGTAGTAATGATGGTTTCAAAAAGGTTTTGTTACTTTGTAAGTTCATCAACTTCATAAAGAGTTGCCTGTAGTTGTATTATGTGGAATATCGATAATTCTAAGTGGATAAAAAAAAGTTGCATAAGCCAGGAACAAAGAAGTTTTTGTTTGAAGATGTTTTAATAAGAGTGAAACTACGGAAATGAAAGTCTACGATTTATTTACCTAAACTTTATCACAATTCGCAGCAGAGTTGATACAACTAAGATGCGAACACGAAGAGAAAAATATAGCAAGCCAAAAAAAAATTGAAATGGAGAGAAAATCTCATTTCTCTATACTATCCACTCTCTTTTCATATCTTACACAAAAATCAATTCAAGTTATCCAAACAAGGTCGAGAGAGAGTGTCTGAACTAGGATTTCGTTTTCTATGCTCTAATGAAATATCCAAATAATAGTTCTATAACATCTGAACCACTGTTTACGACATTTTACAATAGGTGACGTTGATTTTCAACTGAAAAAAGGCTTTAACAGTTTATAATGTGCTTTGTTATGCTAGTTCTAACAAATACGGGGGCACAAAACTAATTTCTCGTAAGCCTTACTAGTTTGCTAATCTTTTGTATTTTCCTGGGGTCACTAACCCCAAACAATTTTTAACCCTTATATCACTTATACAATTATTAAAGTTAAGTAACAGTACAAATAACAGATATCACACTTTCTCACGAGTAACGTTGGCAGTTGAGATTTATAGCTGAAAAAAATTAATCAAACTTGTCATTATTATACTTCAAATGGGTGGTAAACACCCAGTTGAGAGACAAAAGTGTGTTTTACCACAGACTGGAAAGTATTTGGTGTTCAAAATAAGCTAAAAACTTTCTTTAACTATAAGGAGTAAGTGATATTTTTATTTGTACTTTTCTACCAATGAACAAAACAGCTAAACTAATAAGTTGTAATCGTTATCTCTTTTGAAATAAGTTTTCTGAAATATATCTATTGAAAAATAGAAAATGTGTTACTTAGAAGTAAAGTCTTCTTTCTCTTTGTGGTTTTAATACTATTGATAACAGTACTTATGTTTAAGTCCCAGTAACGTCCCACTCTGATTTAATTAGGTTTTTATAGTGTCGCTAACAGTACTTATGTTTAAGTCCCAGTGACGTCCCACTCTGATTTAATTAGGTTTAATACGTATTGATAACAGTACTTATGTTTAAGTCCCAGTGACGTCCCACTCTAAATTAATTAGGTTTTTATAGTGTTGATAACAGTACTTATGTTTAAGTCCCAGTGACGTCCCACACTGAATTAATTAGGTTTTAATACTATTGATAACAGTACTTATGTTTAAGTCCCAGTGACGTCCCACTCTGATTTAATTAGGTTTTTACAGTGTTGATAACAGTACTTATGTTTAAATCCCAGTGACGTCCCACTCTGAATTAATTAGGTGTTAATACTATTGATAACAGTACTTATGTTTAAGTCCCAGTGACGTCCCACTCTGAATTAATTAGGTGTTAATACTATTGATAACAGTACTTATGTTTAAGTCCCAGTGACGTCCCACTCTGAATTAATTAGGTTTTTATAGTGTTGATAACAGTACTTATGTTTAAAGTCCCAGTGCCGTCCCACTCTGAATTAATTAGGTTTTAATACTATTGATAACAGTACTTATGTTTAAGTTCCAGTGACGTCCCACTCTGAATTAATTAGGTTTTTATAGTGTTGATAACAGTACTTATGTTTAAGTCCCAGTGACGTCCCACTCTGATTTAATTAGGTTTTTATAGTGTTGATAACAGTACTTATGTTTAAGTCCCAGTGACGTCCCACTCTAAATTAATTAGGTTTTTATAGTGTTGATAACAGTACTTATGTTTAAGTCCCAGTAACGTCGCACTCTGATTTAATTAGGTTTTTATAGTGTTGATAACAGTACTTATGTTTAAGTCCCAGTGACGTCCCACTCTAAATTAATTAGGTTTTTATAGTGTTGATAACAGTACTTATGTTTAAGTCCAGTAACGTCCCACTCTGATTTAATTAGGTTTTTATAGTGTTGATAACAGTACTTATGTTTAAATCCCAGTGACGTCCCACTCTAAATTAATTAGGTTTTTATAGTGTTGATAACAGTACTTACGTTTAAGTTCCAGTGACGTCCCACTCTGAATTAATTAGTTTTTTATAGTGTTGATTATAGTAGTTATATTCAAGTCCCAGTAAGGTACCTCTCTGTAATTAATTAGGTTTTTACAAGTCAAATTATTCTATTTCTGAATGTTGTTTGCGATATCAAAGTTGTGCCATTTAAAAGTGTGGCTCACCTGTAAAACTTTAGTATAATACTTGGATGTAATGCTGTACATGGAAAATTAGGTTCAACTATGACAAATCTCCAACTTTTGGACTGGAACTGCCCTGTATTGGAACGTCCTGTGACTATTATAAAGGTGCAAGCAGATATGTAGTGAAATAAACCATGATCAGCCTCTGCTATTCACAACGTGTGAAACGTGTATTTTTGTGTTACGATAACAACAGCGATAATTTCTCAGAAATGTTCCACATCCTAAAGAAACTGTTGCTAATAAGAAGACTGACGTAAAGGTTAATGAAGTACAATTCTATATTCTGTTGTTTGGATTATAAAATGTTTATATTTCAGCTTACAGCTCAGTTAGAATAACTTATCAGTTGTTCCTTTGATAATATCTTATTTGCTTTTAGTAATAAAAATTTAATATGCTTGAGGTATTTCCCAGCTGTAACAAATACATTTATTTATTGCTTTTTCAGCACTGACCGTAAACTTACATTTGGAAGATGAATTATGCAGTCTCGAAATACATTTCTATTTTTATAGTGCAATATATTTTTTAGTATTACTACCGAAGCTTGCTAAATACCTTGCTTGGTTTCTAATGCTGCGCCATCTTTCGGCGTTTAAAGTATAAATTCCTTAGTGTATGATATATGCTTTATCGACTTTTATTGTTTGCAGATAACCCTCGTTTGTGGAGTGTAAGGAAGTAGTTCGTATTTGGTTGTATGTTCTTTTTAATTCATTAATATTGGTTAATACGTTATACATATGTTGGGATAATGTATTAAAACCTAGATGTAATCTGTTTTACTTTCAAGCTTCTCTGTAATACACTACTCAACTTTTGCGAGGAACTGCAGTTTCCAACAATGAAAAGCTTTTCATACTGTGCCATTTACTGAATGACTCATTGTTTTAATACACAGTTTAGTACAAGGATAAAGATGCGTACACTAAGAAGATTCATAATGTCATATATGATAACAAAGGAAAGATCCCTCCCCCTCCAAAAAATATAGTTTTATGAAAATTCGAAGCCATGAAAATTTTTTTAAAATGTATTTGCACGTGATCAATACGATTTATGTCTGCTACGAGCTGCAATGACACTTTAACAACGCGTATACATCCCACTAATCAAATGCCGTTCACGTTGTTATGGCAGCTCGATTGTTGGATATGTCTAGTCTCCCGTATGTGAAGTTAACACCAAGCCAGTGGCAAGGTCATGAGACAACATGGTGGAGACAAAGAAGAATCTCATCTACTCTGGAAGGTCGCCGTGACCTGCTGCAACTGGTACTCAACTGAGAAATGTCCCTCACTATATAATAGGAGTTAAACTTTTTACACGGGTGATTTACTTTATGATACATCCGGGAACATTGGATTATGTTCTAGGCTATGGATTACGTCAGATGGGGCATCAATGATTGGATGCTAGTACTCGTTACTAATGGCTCCAAATTCTGTACAAGTTGTACTAGAAAATAGGCATAGGTGTGGAGACACGAACGTTTCTTGCTGCAGGATATTGCAGAACACAATAGATATGGAGGATGATTTGTCAAGGTGTGGTCTGAACTCAGTATATATATATATATATATATATATATATAGAACAGCAACCTTATTGCAGTTAGATACCAAGATGAGATTCTCCTTCTGGTAATGATACCATATACTGATGCAGTCGAACCAAACATCGTTTTTGGTTGATGCCAATATCTGCCCACATCAAGCTTGGATATCACTGCTAATCTCGAACAGGGAGTAATCAATCGAGAGGATGGTTTGTCCAGTGACATCTCTTGGTCCAAACCCTACTGGGATTGCTTAGAACATCCTAAAAATGGGTGATAGCAACCCATCAAATGCTATCCAGGACTATACAGGAGCTTCAGCACTCCCTTACTCAAAAATGGACCCAGCTTCCACAACACCAAGTGAGCGTCTACTTAATGACTGAATTTTCAAAAAAGATATACATATATTTTTTTTTTCATTAAAGGAGAACGCTTTCTGTTGTCATCACGTCTTATTAATGAGCCCCCAGTGGCACAGCGGTATGTCTGCGGGCTTACAATGCTAGAAACCAGGTTTCGATACCCGTGGTGGGCAGAGCACAGATAGCCCTTTGTGTAGCTTTGTACTTAACCACAAACAAACAAACTTATTAATGATTCTAAGAAACTATTTTTTTATTGTGCATAATTTTCCACAGGTTAAACTATACATCAACACAATTGATCATTCAGTAAATTACACAGAATGAAAATTCTCTTTGCTGCAAAGCTTGATCGTCAGCGAAAGTTGAGTTTACGACTGCTCTAGTGCGAGTTCAGTAAAATCACGAACTTCTTGAGTTCTAACTAGTAAATGTCATATATTATGATATCATTCATTTTATTTAGGGTACTTGTGAGGATATTTTCTATTGGCTAATGAAACGAAAGTTGGTATTCAGATGAGATGAAAAACTGGAGCATTTCACAAACCACAATTATTCTATCACAGTTAATTCTGTTTAAATCTATATGTTTCTTACAGGTCAACCGAAGAGATATTTGCCTTGTTCATAAGTATTGCTTTCTGTGTTGATGCAGGCAGAGATGTGTATAAAAGTAAGTATTTTATGTTTTACAAAATATTTAATTTATATTCATGGTGTGACACGGCGAAAAAGTTTGTTTTAGACCACAGCTACACATTAAGCTATTTGTACTCTTTCTACCCCCACAGGAAACGAACCTCGAATTATATCGTTGCAAGTCCATAAACTTACCGCTGAACTCTAGAGGATCACGACGAAAATTATCTGTTCAGTACAATATTGGGAGAGAGCGCAGCCTAATGGTTAACGTGTCGGACTACGGATCAAAAGATCCAAGGTTCGCTTCAAAATGCCGTTGAACACGGTCTACACTTTCAGCTGTGGGTGCGTTATAAAAGTTACAGTTACATCCTTTATTCTGCTCAAAGCCTGACAAAATCCTTATGGCAGTGTGTGCTTCTGAGTAGCTGCCTTCACTCTGATCAGTGGTTCAAAATTAGAGACAGCTATATCTGAATCCCACGAGGGTCGCTGTTTAACCAATGTACGCGTAAGGTGCACATTCCGATTGAAAATACAAATACTACGATACTAATTTCTACAGTATACATCTATATATCGATCACACTTTTATTTCATTTTTTTGCTGGGAGGCTTATTAGGAAAACAAAATATATAGAAATTAAAGCATTTAATTTACTATTCGATACTAGTATACTCTAGGTTAATGTTGGGTAAGCCGTAAACTATTGGAGTTTAAAGCTTTGAGCGACTTCAGATGCTTGCACTGTTTAATTATTTAGTTGAGTTGTAGCACATAGCATTCGAGTGATTAATGTTTCGATGTCGAAGCGAACCTTAAAGCAAAATCCACGAGCTTGTATAAAGTGCGTTGCCAGTTATCATGCTTTTACTTCTTCCTAACACCACAACTCTTCTGTAGGTCTCTAATTTATAAAGTTGGTTTTATAGGCTTTTTGTCATAAAACGTTTCTGTGTATAAGAAATACTGATCGCCTCTTCCTTTAAAACTTCAAGCATCAAGTTTAAGAACTAAAAAGCGATATTTTTTTACTTCTCTCGAGTTTTAAAATTAATTTTTACTGATCACTCAGGAGAACGATATAGTTTTAGAAATAAGATTACCACGAGGAGAGTTAAGAAACTTTTCAGAGGTATTGGCGTTATGAAGTGACCCTCACATGACTCAGGTGAACTTATTGATTCGAACGATGAAAAGCTGTTGGTAAAACCAAGCTACCATAACGTTTCTATGTGGCGGAGTCATTCAATTGCTCTGACACAAATAATAAACATTCCACCAAGATTGTGGTGATATATTAAATTGGATTTTTATTTTGTCAAAACGTTGACCAAAATATTTTCTTTTGCGTGTATTTTACGCATTTTATACTTTGTCTGAGATAACTTTATTTGCAATATCTTCTTTGTTGTGTTTTATTATAAAAAGTAAAAAAAACAGTCCAGAATTAATGATCCAGAAAATTAATCTGTAGTTTGTGATGTGATGAGCGTTTAACATTATTTACAGAGTCGGTGTTTTAATATTAATATATTATCACACATGTAAGTGGATACAAAATTATATAGGTTTATTTTACAGTTAGAACTTCTGAAGTTCCTATAATTTAGATGCTTAGTTTTAATAATAGTGTACTAATTTATCCAAACACTCCATTCTTTCAGACTTTCAGAAGTATTACTACGCACCAGCGTGTATCGAACAAGAACCTTCCCTTTCTCAACTCTCGGACTGGCTGGGTAACTCCACCAATAAGAGCTCTCAGGCATTAATGACGTTGCCAGACTGTAAGCGAGAGAATAGTCTTTTGTTTTTGTTGCTGATGTTTGGTACTGTCTGGCTAGCAGTGTCACTGTATAACTTCAATAAAACGTAAGTGGGGAAGCCTTGCTGCCTGTAACAATAAGTATGGTACACGTGGTATAACTGATAGGTTAAAGTTAACATTGTTTACATCATTTTTGCAGTTAATTTTATTGTGAGTTCGTTTGTTGACTCGTAGTAACCCATTCATACTTCTAGATTAGTTCAAGATTATCCTCGTTTGGTTAATCACCTGCTACATTTTAATCCTACAATAGTGATGAACATAAATGGTAATAATTTCCACTGAAGACCTATCTGTTATACATAAATATTTTCACTTTCCTAAGTGTTTTCGTATGATCGATTAAAGCATTTATTCCGCCATTTGTAAATTTACTAAACAAAGAGAGACACAGAAAACGATGTTTGAAACCACCTGCCATCGTGTAACTCGATTAACTCAGCTATTCGATGAAGTTAGTAACCTGGGTTACTTTGAGGTAGGTGATCTTTATCTTTTGACAGCTTAAAGTTGAATGTTTGCCTACGAGGGTTAGCAGCTTACAGCTCTGGAGGAACTCGAAGTCTTCAAACAAACTCACTCAAATAGAAAATCATTTCATGATAATTATCAATTTTGTACTGTTATTTCCATTAACAATATTCTTTTTGGAACTGTTGTGATCGTCCTCAATATCAATATTAACTTAGATCAAAACAAGCTACCAACATAGATCAGAACTAAAAGGTAACCCGTCTTGGAGTATTTAATGTAGCAACAACTTCATACGGTAAATGAAGGTAACAATTGCAGGTTTGCTCTCATTAAGTGGTATGCACTACGTCATGTAGTTCAAAAACATTATGAAAGGTTTTATTATTTACATTATCTTTCGTATCACTGTCATGTAAACCTGTATAAAAGTGTTATATTTATGGCGGCCGTACACTTAGAAATATTTTTGTTAGGCTTAACTCACAGATCTTCATCTTTTTTTCTTTAATTAGACTTCAATCTCATGATAATTAGTACGAAGTTGGTGGACTGGGGGGAAAAGGAGTATTTATATTGTGTAGGGTAACATTGTATTGCTAATTCCCCGTTTTTGTATTCTAGACCTTACCTGCAGGCAAGTAAGCGGGAAATGCTAGCAGACTACGCCTTACCAGTAGCTGTAATATCCTTAAGCTTCGTCGGCTCCTTCGTCTTCCAGGATATCCAAAGTATTAACACATTGTTCTCATGCGTTTTAAATGTATTACTTCATGAAAAGGAAAAAGCTAAATGTTATTACCAATCTTAGCATACTCTTTTGTGGTGAACACTAAATGTTGTTGTGACCGAAATATTCATTATTTCTTTAAAACTTTGTTATTACCAATCTTAGCATACTTTATGAGGAAAACATTATAAAGAGTTTAGTGGTGAACACTATATGTTGTTGTGACCGAAATTTTAAAACTTTTTAACCAAATCAAAACAAAAATATTGTTATATTACTGTTCTTAAAGCTCTAAGAACAGGCAGTATTAACACTGAATTACTCTAAAGATGGCGCTTCTTCGGACACTTTCAGAACAAAGATGATACAAGTAATTAGCAGCAGTCTCGTGCCTTAATCTATGTCAGCCATTTAGAATGTCTTTGTCCGTTAAAATGTTACTCAAGAGACTATTGAATTTGCCCCCCCCCCTCTCAGTGGCACAGCGGTATGTCTGTGGACTTACAAGGCTAGAAACCGGGTTTCGATATCCGTGGTGGGCAGAGCACAGATTGCCCATTGTGTAGCTTTGTGCTTAACTACAAACAAACAAATTATTGAATTAATCTTGTATGCTATAATAACCTTAATGCAGCATATTTTATTATATTCAGCAGTATCACAAAATGGACAATGGTTTACATTCGTTATGACTAAATATAACAAATTTAATCAGTCCTATTTGGTTGAAATGTATTATTAATGCTCAGTAATTTTTCCTTATTGTTTTCTCTTAATTTTTTAGTTTAGTTTGGTGTTATGTTCCATAAATCCATCTTGAAACAGTTGTTTTAAACTATTGCATTTATTGTTATAAAAACACATTACTCTGACTTTTATTGATATTTTCTTATTATTATCTGTTTTATTAAATACCCCGGGATAATAAGTACTTCACTTAAACAATATGGGTAGTATCTATAAGTAGTTAATAAGTAAAAACATCAACACAAAGGATTGTATATAACATTATATTACAACAATTTTGAATATGCAAATCAGCAAGTCACGTGATAACCACAGGAGATATAAAGTTGCGGTTGAGCAGCATGTATCAGAACTACATCATGACATTGTTTGTTATTTTGTAGGTGTGATGCCACGGAAAATTTATTGCTTTTGGAGAAGGGGTAACTGCCCTCTCCGATGTAAAATATTCATACTCTTAGATCATAAAGATGTGATCAGATCGGGGATTTAGACTTTTCAAGACAAGATTGTCCTTTATACTTAATGGCATTGGAAATGGAGAACAAAGGAATATAGATCCAGAAAAGACCTGTAACAAGTCATACCCAAGTCGTAATGTGTATAGCGCGACATCTTGTAACGGATGAGATTTCACGAACACGTCAGTGGCAAAAGCCACCCATGTGCCCCAGGCAACAATATACAGTGCAATCAAGAAGGTTGTTTCCACGAAGTATCCGTTCAGTCGTCACATAGCCCATGCAGCTGCAGAATATAAAGGGTATTCACTCTATTCAATACAAGGACACATCAGTCAAATTGCCACACGCAGTGCCTGTGGATTTCTATATGAATGAACTATTTAAATGGGTATTGGGACACCGTCGTCTTCGTATACTAGGTAGATTACAGAAAACATTCAGGTATGAGGGGTGTACTTTGAACAAGGCTATAGTCAGGATGCACGGTTGTCAAATGGAACACGACCTTATATGACGAGGCTCCAAAGCCGTTTTAGATAAAGTACTTGTTGCTTTCTTAGTGCAAAGATACACAATGGGTTATCTTCACTCTGTCCACTACGGGAAATCGAGCCCCGGATTTTAGCATTGTAAGTCCTTAACTCTATCGTTGACTCACCGGGGGACATAATGTACTCAACTTCTGTAGTTTAAAAATAAGTTCTTATTTTCTCATGTATGAACTTGTTTTCTTAGAGTTTTACCTTGCTTTGAAAAAATTCTACATAGAAACTAAAGCTTTAAGTATTAATTAGAAACGCACATGACTCGTATCGACGTAGACTAAACTAGAATTAATATTTTTAGTTTATGCGACAGTCCTAGACTAATATTCTAATGTTATTCTTTCTGATGCTGTGAAAATCAACTTTTCAAATGTTTATAGTTATATACATTGTGAAACTAAAACGTGATTTACACTATTTACATTAATATTTCATGTTTTCTTATGTGGATCCTTTTATTTTATAAATTGTAGACATTTTAAATACATTTTATAACGTTGAAAATAATTTTTTCGGTATGTTTTTTCTTCTTTCTTTCTTGAAGTTCGTGAAATTTTAACCATGAAGGTACCTTGTGTTATAATCTCGATAATTAAGATTCTTCGAAAAACAAGGATAGCCTACGAATATTTGGTTGTAGAAATGATTTGTCTTTAAATAATTGCGATGTATTCGTATTTTACTGTTGTCTCCGCTGAATAGTTACAATGTGTCTTGTATTTTCCAGGAGTGTGTTGGAATAGTTACGATGTGTCTTGTATTTTCCAGGAGTGTGTTGAAATAGTTACAATGTGTCTTGTATTTTCCAGGAGTGTGTTGAAATAGTTACAATGTGTCTTGTATTTTCCAGGAGTGTGTTGGAATAGTTACGATGTGTCTTGTATTTTCCAGGAGTGTGTTGGAATAGTTACAATGTGTCTTGTATTTTCCAGGAGTGTGTTGGAATAGTTACGATGTGTCTTGTATTTTCCAGGAGTGTATTTGAATAGTTACGATGTGTCTTGTATTTTCCAAGAGTGTGTTGGAATAGTTATGATGTGTCTTGTAATTTCCAGGAGCGTGTTTGAATAGTTATGATGTGTCTTGTATTTTCCAGGAGTGTCTCCGCTGAATAGTTACAATGTGTCTTG